GTCTCTCTGTCTCTCTCTCTCTCTCTCTCTCTCTCTCTCTCTCTCTCTCTCTCTCTCTCTGTCTGTCTCTCTGTCTCTCTCTCATCTTCCCACTTGCTTGGTCGAGCCCCTTCCCTTGGTGCCCCGCCATGTGGTCCCCCTCTGTGGTGTACTTGACTGCTTCTCTAGGACGTGTGAGTATAATAAGCTTCATTTCCCTATGCCTCTCCTGTGTCCCCTCTTGTGACTGCACCTGACCAACCATCTCATGAGAGAATACAGAACAACTTCTCAATAAGAACTGCAACAAATTATTTTCTTGCTTCTTAAACTGTATCATTGAGCTCATTTAAAAGTGCAAACCTCGGGTCCTAAGACTACCAGGTACTCCTGAGTGGAGCAGGGGTACCACTTAACCACAGAGGGAGACGTGGATTTGGGGCTTTGTTGGCAACTTCTGGTGGCTACGATGCTGCTAGTACAGTCTCTAGCTCCTCATTGGAAAAGCAGAGATGAAGTTCAAATAGCATCTCACTGCTTTCTTGGATGAGGGATCGACTGCAAAAGTATTTGCTTGTATTAAGCAGGCTTTTCCACCACCAGCAATATGCCTAGTCCACCACTGTGTCCCTGCTGGCTCAGAAGGGACTAGTCCAATTCTGCCAACAGCTGCCGCTGACAGGGAGAAGTTGAAAGAGTGGCAGCAGATGAAAGAGAGGAAAAAGGTAGTGGAGAGGGGAGACTGAAAATGGAAGGGATGGGTGCCACTTACAGAGATGAATTCAATGGAGAATTTCAAGTGCAGAGTCACTGAGATGCCTTTCTTCCTCTCATCTTTCATTACCGACCCACCCCGTTACTCTTCAAGCCAAATGACTGAAGATGGCCACAAATCTCTCCATCCACTGCTGCTCAGTATTAGCCAAGCATGGATGGGGACCTGGATGTCTTCAGGAGTGAAGTGAGGTGTGCTGAAAGCTGCCCGCCTCCGTCCAAAATATGTTGTCCATCCACCTGAAATCAAACTGGAACTCCTCACTAGAGTTATTCCTTTGGGTCAAGGCATTGAAGGCTCCTACTGAAATGCAACTATGTTATCTAAAAGGAGGAACATACAGTGCCCGGCACAGAGTAGAGCTTCTCTAAATGTGTCATTTTTAATATTAAATTGCCACTGCCTGCCGTTAGAACCTTAGTAAAGATTTATCTACCAGGTTCTCTCCTGTCTCCCAGGGCCCTTGAGGATCTATGATGGGAAGACCGGTGTGAAACACTGGCAAAGATTGGGTAGCGGAGTCTGAGGTTTGGCGGATGGTGGAGAAAGGGGAGGCTGACAGCATGAGGCACTTTGGGGAAGAAAAAGGGCACTTTCAAAAGGTGAGAAAGAGGGAAGAGAGTTTGGAAATTAACATTTATTAATTTTTCCTAGTCAGGCACTGAATTAGATGCATTTACATCCACTATCTTATGTAATCCGCAACCATTCTATCAGGAAAGGAATATTAGTATTCCCATTTTGCAGGTGAAAATCTGGATAGGGGTTCAGATTAAGAAAGTCGCTCAAGGTCACACAACGCCTCTATATGATGGAATATAGATTCGAACCTGGACCTGCCTCCTAAGCCTATGTTCCTGAACCACGCTATCTCACACTCCACATTTGTCAAGGGGTAGCCAACCTAGTCTCTGCTACCCCTTCCGTCCTAATACTCCAACCACTTGCAAATTTAGGCTTCTGTGACTCCCAGGTTTCTCCCCCACTCTTTGCCATGGACTATCTAAATGGAGACAAAAGATTTCCATGGGTGGTGGGGTAGGAAGAGATTTTACATTATCAGGATGGACAGAAATTTGGGAAGAGCCTAGTATCATTTTTCTGGTTGCCCAAGGGTTTGGAAACTATCTGTTCCAGGCTCCAACATATGTCACGTCAAATCCAAAGTTCTGGGGTAGTCAGTGTGCCAGTTGGGGCCCTGGGCCCCTGCCTTGATATCCCCTGCCCCGTGTGTGCCATCTTGCTGTAGGCTGGCAGGAAGATTCATTTTCCACGTGGACCAGGAGGAGGAGATATGGAAAAAAAGAGAACAGCTGGTGTGGGGAGGGACAAAATCCGTCTCTTCCAGAGCAGCTGGGGTGGGTGCGAAAGACTTGGGAGATAAAGAGTCTTCTTTTTTCTCACCACTGGAGAAAGGGGCTGGGGAGAGGTGCCTACAGCTCAAGAGGTTCATCCATGGGATTTTGGGGAGGGCATCACCGCCAACAGAGATCCAGGCTGCACTGCCTACTTCCAAGGTTCTTTCCTCCCCTCAGACAAGAAAGAGAAGTGGGGGGAATTAGTGGCCTCTGCGGTCATCGGTCAGGGGCCTAGGCTGCTATGTCCAAAGGCAAGACCAAGGGAGCAAGGCAGCCAGGAACAGCTTCCTCTAACCTTAACTTTTCAATCCCAACCAGTATCCCAACTCATTCCCACACCTCTCTTCTCCTTCGTTGTTGGGACTGACTGTCCTTTTCATTAACCTTTCAGTTAACCCCTCCACGCAGCACTTCTCTACGCCCTCCAGAGCTGTCAGCTCCTCGCTGCCCGACACCGCCCTGTCGCCCCTCCCCCATAAGCCCGGCTCTGCGCTTGGGTCCGGGGAGGTCTCGCCTCCCAGAGCCGTGGGGGTGAGGGCTTCTTTACTCGCTCTCGGATCTCCGCTGTAAAAACTGAGCGGCATGGCCCGGGCATGCGCAGCATCTTCGGGCGCATTGTGATGGGAACTGCTTCTCTGAGTCTCTACAAAGACTCCAGAGTAACCACTCGCTGCCCACCCCGCGAGACCCTCCTTCTTTAACCCAGACGCACAAACGCACAGACAATGCAGCTTTTCTTTCTTCTTCTCTTGAAAAAGCTGGCTGTAGCTTGAAAGGCTTGGGCCACGTGAAGACTAGTGTATTTCTATCGATTCCACCTCCCGTGTTGACAAACGCCAGCGCTGAGGCTTTGCAGTCCGCGGCTGCAGTTTGCAGTGGAGCTAAGCGGTGTGCGGCTTTAATTCCACGTCAGATCAACTTTGATCGATATCCCCCTACCGGCCCAATTGGAAGAGCCCAATTCACCGCCGCTGAGCCTTTTCGCTCTTTCCTTCTTTTTTTTCCCCTCTTTAGACCCACCATCTTCTGGGGGAGAAAAGTCTCGGATTTTCTTTTAATTTCTTTCTTTTTTTCTTTCTCTCTCTCTTTTGTTTCTTTGGGGGATTTGTTTGTTTTTCTGTGTTTTGTCTTTTTTGTTTCGTTTTGGGTTTTGGGTTTTATTCTCTCTCTCTCTGTCTCTCTCTCTGTCTCTGTCTTAGAGATAGGGAGGGAGATCGCTTTGGCGAACCGAGCTTGCAGCCAATGAACCCGCCTTCCAGATTGGTGTGAAGACAGAAGTGAGGTGGGGGGCGGGGAGGGGGTGTGAGAGAGCCTGGAAGCGAGAGAGAGAGAGAGAGAGAGAGAGAGAGAGAGAGAGAGAGAGAGAGAGAGAGAGAGAGAGAGGAGAGAGAGAGAGAGAGGAGGTGGTGGAGGAGGACTAGTGTGGGGTGGAAAGGAAGAGTGAGCGAGAGAGCAAGTTGAGGGGAGGGGGTGAAAGAGCCGGCGAATTCTTTTTCTTTTTCTATTATTATTTTGAAGACTCCCGAGTTGCGCCTATGCTCTTGTCAGCTTCGTTCTAGGCGTAGCACGGCCAGGCAGAAGAAAATGGGGCAAAGCGTGCTCCGGGCGGTCTTCTTTTTAGTCCTGGGGCTTTTGGGTCATTCTCACGGAGGATTCCCCAACACCATCAGCATAGGTAAGCGCGAGCCAGCCCGCCGGTCGGGCCGGGCTCTCTTGCACCCGAGACCACTGCCCTGGCGTGGCTACTGCGGCCGCGGGTCCCTGTCCTGCATGGCCTGGGAAGGGACGGGGGACGGGTATCGGGCAGGAATCTCAGGGATCTGAGCCTCAGAGAGCTGGCTGGTCTGGGGAGCATGGGGAACCAGAGAGGTGATCTCCTGGGGCTTGGCGGGGTGGGCTGCCGCGTTTTCCGAGCTGAGCGGAGCAGGGGAGGCACGCCAGAGGCTGGGAGGCTGCAGCCGGGCAAAGAGTCACGGCTTTTCGGCTCGCTGCTCTGGACTTTGCCATGGCGTGCGTGCCGCCGCTGGAAGTTGTCCCAGGGTGATGCCGCCTGTCTGGCTGCGCCAGGGCGCGTAACCCGCTCCGGGGCTCCCTGTCCCGCGTCTCCGGGTCCCGGGAGACCGGCTAGCGCTTGGGGAGGTGGAAGCCCACCCTGGATTCCCCCAGACCCGGGCAGCAACCGAGGTCAGTGGCGGATGGGGTAGGAGGCAGGGGTGAGACTAGAAGCCGAGCCAGCGAGCGGCGAAGTCACGCAGACCACGAATTCATGAATTGCCGCCGTGTCTGTCTGTCTGGAGCCCGGCTCCCGGGCGCTGGGAGGGAGTTCTCCCGGCTTCTCCCTGGATTTACTAGTCAAGAAGTTAGAATTATTGCCATTACAGAACCAAGCCCCTGTACTGTCATGGGGGAGCGGGGGCCTGTGGGGAACAGGATGGGGCAGCAGGGGGAATGAAATTGTTTTTCTTCCCAACCTTTCCCTTTGCGCCACGAAAAGATGAACCAGCTTGTGGAGATGGGAGGTAGCGGAGGAAGAGGGGAGAGGAGGCTACCGCCTGAGAATGAACGAAGTCCCACTCTTGGTTCCATCGTCCGACCCCAGAGCAGCCTCCTTTTTCCCTCTTTCCCCTTTCCCCCTTCTCTCCAGCCTCTCCTCCGACTCTTTAGAGGAAAACTAGGTTTCTCTTGGCCAAAATTTGAGTTCACAAGAGTCTTCAAAGACACACAGGGTGAAAATCAATCATGATCATGCACCCGGGTACCACTGAGAGGTTATTGCCTATCTGTAGCTCCCCAATTTCTAACCGCTCCTGGGGCGGGGGGGGGGGGAACACAAGCCAAATCTTGGTTCCCTTTGCTTGTAGGTGGACTTTTCATGAGAAACACGGTGCAGGAGCACAGCGCTTTCCGCTTTGCTGTGCAGTTATACAACACCAACCAGAACACCACCGAGAAGCCCTTCCATTTGAATTACCACGTAGATCACTTGGATTCTTCCAATAGTTTTTCTGTGACTAATGCTTGTAAGTAGATCTGCTTTTCCTCCTTTTGGGACCTGGGAACCTCATTTGCCTTTTGCTTGTGGGACTTGGGGTCTGCGTAAGTGCTGGGGTGGCGATTGCCTTAGTAGACGTTTTAGGGGCTCTAGTCAATCCAGGTTTCATGTGACATAAATCAACTCCAGAGGATCCTGCTGAGGGAGGGACTTAAGGCAAGTACACAAAACTCTGTTGTGAATAATGTTTCATGCAAAAGTTTCATTTTCCTCCCTGGTAAACTGGCGCTCCCTCCCCCGCAACCCCCTCCCTTTTTTTTTTTTTTTTTTTTTTTTTTCCCTTTGGCTGGAAAAAAAAAGAGAAAAAATAGCATGGCTGTTCAGGGAAATTTCTTCAGATGAGATTAAAGAAAGAAGCCTCTTGATTGAGTCAGTTCAGGAGGTGCATTACTTGACTGTTAAAGCTAGCACCTGGCTGTAGGAATGAGCTGAATTTGACAATCGCTTAATATATAGGAGCCAAATATGAGAAATTCTGCAAACAAGTGACCTTGAGGGACAGATCAGGCTCGGTTCCCTGGCCTCTTTCTGTCCTAGAATATCACCTTTCTTACCGAGAGAGCTCTGATAGGAACTGATAAGACTACAAACTGATTACAAGTGATGAACGCCTGGCAAACTGAGGGGAAGGGAGAAAGTGCTCAGGTGACTCTTTGGAAAGCGACTTCTGTTCTGTCTCCCCTAGTGTTGTTCAACTCCCCCCACCCCCGCCATTGTTAGGGACAACACAGTTCTTAACTTAGAGCAAAAGGTGCAAGGTGGAGGCTTGCAGCAGGAAAACCGAATGCCAAAAGGGAAGAATTTCATCAGCCCCCAAAGCAGTTTCTGAACCAGCTAGTTGTGCCCTGTGATTGTTCCTGTGGAAAGGGGACATTTCATTTTGAGAAGTAAAACCACGGGAACCTAGATGACTAATAGCCTGTTGGACACAGGTTTTTCTTGAATGTTTTATGAGAAAGCCTGGTAATTCTTCATCTGAGCTTATTTCATGAAAAGTTTTCACAACAATGAGGGTGAGGATGGCATAAATATGTTTTGCTTTTATGGCTGGTGTAGTTGGGAATTTTTGATTTTTGATTTTCTTTCAGGGGAGAAATGATGTTTATATTTGGTTGGGTGAAACTTTGTATATGACTTTCTTCAAATTCTTCTGCCTCAAAGGATATGTGATTTCCAAAATCTGTTGAAAGGGTCTCCAAGGGCACAGCTTCCTTGGATTTGAAGACTTAGGTCAAGGGGATGGAGGTGAATTACTTTGCAAGAAATTGTGACAGTTATCAGCTTTAAGAAAATTTTAGCTGAAGGTACAGATCCTTATATGAACATGTTCTGAGGTACTCTGTATTTGACATTCTTTGGCTCTCCGACATTGACAAAAATAGGAGCTTATTAACTCCAGCTAAGTGTGAAAGTTACAAAATGTCTGTCTATACTTTGCATCTGATTTTGGTAATCCCAGCCTGTCTCTTCAGCACACTTACAACACACATCTGACTCTTAATTCTGCAGCCCTGAGATCTTGTCAAGCGGCCGAATTCCAAAGGCAGCTTCCTAAATATCAATTAGAACAGATTTAAAACCAAATACACGAAACTACCCAGATTTATTATTATTAACAATGAATAATGTTTATTTCAACTCACTTTAGTGTCTTTCCACCGATGTTGACTGAGATAAGAGTGCTAATTGACTTCTCAGGAATGATTAATTTCCAAGGTTTTTGGTCTTGCTGTTTATGGTCAAATCAGATTGACACTAGCCAGCCCAGGGCCATCAGAACGCTACTCAAGGAGCAATCAGGAAATGATCCTTGCCATGTGAAAAGCTCAGGTCTGAGAACAGGCACTAAGTCATCTGTATTGGTGTTGAGTTGCCTTAATGCCCTACCTCTCAGGGCAATAAAGGGACAACCGTGAAAGGAAAAGAAATTGATCAACGCCCCCGCCCGCCCGCCACCGCCGTAAGTCCCCAACACTTCATCTTACAAGCTTATAAGGCTGGGTTATGGCTGGGGGCTTGAAAGTGTAGCATAAGGGGTGTGGCTTACTGGGCAACAGGAAAGACAAAAAAGGCGACCTTGCCCTTAGTTATGCCAAATACACACATATGCACACTGACTGACTCACACGGGAGAGATTTCCAGAAACCAGTGATGTGTACCCAGCTGCCTGTTGCACACTCAGACTTTACAGCTCAGAAGACAGAGGAGGAAAGCTGTCATCTTCTCCAGTCCCCGAAACAGTCCTCTCTGAATGTCACAGTCATTGAATGGGGGCCAGATCTCAAAGCTGTCTCCTGGCAGCTGCTGCCTACAATCTTAGTATGAGAAAGATGACTAGTCCAACCACCGTCTGATAGTCTCTGAATGCAGAAAACAATCATTTCACGGGGCCAGGGAAGCCCTGCAGGTGTATCTCATTTCTTTCCCTGGCCTTGAGAGTTCTTTTTCTCAGGGAAGTGAAGATCACATATCACAGATGTCGGCACACAATACTAGTTCAGTGCTGGAGCCTGGCAGGTGACCCCTGGTTCCGTTCTTACAACTGATTGCACTATTGCACAGAGAAAAAAACGCCCTGGATCCTCTGGCCTGCCCCTCCCTGGAGACCTAGGGAGAATTTGAGAAAACCCCAGGTGAGTCCAAACCTGCTTGCCCACCTCTCCTATCTGCTTCAATATGGAATAGAATGGCAAAAATTAAAGAAACTTTCCCCTCTTCCCATTCAAAACTCGTAGTTTCAACTTCCCCTAACCCTAGAATTGATCTCTTTCCATGATCTTTCCTGCACCCTCAATCTTGCGGCAGGCACACACTTCTGAGGACACAGGTATGCAGGTAAACAAATATGCCAAAAATAAACAAACGGTAATGCCTTCTGTATGTGTCCCTGCTCTCTGCTCTCCCTCTGCATCCCCTCCCCCAATGTATTCAGAGTTTCCTTGCAATGAATCCCAGGCATCAGTTATTTAAAGACTCTTCCTCACCAGCAACCAATTCTTTTCTGCACAACCCCCAAGAGGTTTGCTTAAGACAGACTCCGCCTTCAGTCCGCATCTTAAGAGGCCAATAAAAGCATCTCTGGCTTTGAAAGGTGGTTCATTTGGGATCTCAGCTCAGAGGTGAATTGAAGTTTATCGAAGAGACTCAGCTGATTTGGAGCACATGTTCTTATTTCGTAGTGATTAACTGAGTTTGCTGCTTTACTTTTCAATCTGGTTAGGTAGCCCCAGAAAGAAGCATGGTGTGAATATTATGATTTCAGGATACATGCATTCATACACACACACACACACACACACACACACACACACACACACACACAGAGGCACCCATACACCCATAATCAGTATTTATGAAAAGAGGTGTTACACACGTTTTAAGTTGTATACACGTCTGTTCTTTAAAAACCAGATTTGATCATCGTAGGGCTTTGGGGAATGTGGCAACACCAAGGGACTGCTGAGTCCCATTGGTGTGGCTTTGCTCCCCTGCTTCCTCAGGAAATGCCTCCGATTCCCTTGGAGTCCCCTCCTGTGTCTTTCTGCTGTGCACTTGTAGTGCACTCCACACCACATCACCCCAGCCTCTGCAGTGTCAGCTCATTAGCACACAGATCTCATATTCCCTCTCTGCACTGTCATTGCAAAAATTGCTGTTGTACACCTTTACAGCCAACAAATGTGCTTGTGGATTACACGCTGTTTGCAAGAAGCAAGGAAAAGGCAAGTGTAACCTTAAAGGTTATTCACCACGGAATTGTGCTCTTAACGCATTGGCTTAAGTAAAAATCTGTTGATGGAGGCGTAATAGTGAAGGTGGGACTGAGAGTGGGACTTAGGAGTGCAGGCTCTAATGGAGCCCCAGGCAAAATCCCTTTTGCTGGCTAAATGTAACTCATCAGCTGCAAATTTTTATTCCATTCATTGTTTTCAAGCTATTTGAAATATACCTGCTAACTGAGAGCACGCTCCTTTTATAACTGAGCGCATTTCGCTACCAAGTAAATGTACTTAGCTGAGACAGGTTTCCCTCTCTTGCCCACAGAGTCACAACTTAAATTATCTAATTATTCTAACTGCCAGGATCCATTTAACTGTCTAAGTCCATTTGGGAAAGAAATGTCTCCCCTGATCCTGTTCTCTGCTCCCTGGTGGGTTTCGTTTGTTCTTTTTCACGTGATCTTTGGAAGCAGGGTGAAGACCCACAGTATCACGGCTCCTGCCTTCCAACAGATCTTCACACGCTAACCAATGTCAATAGCCCCAGCTCCCACCGCCAGCTCCCCCATCTCTGTGGCTTTGCCGCTCTCCCTCTCTCTCCTGGCCAGTCTTCCATAAGCTCACTGGCTTAGCTCACTTCTCAGCCCCTCTGGACAGCTGGCTTAGACTACTGAAGCACGAAGAGGTCGCCAGAGATTTAAGTCACCTTCTCACAAGGTTTATTATGTTTTTTTTTTTTTTTTTAATCTATTTTTTACGTGGCGAGGAGGGAGGAAGGTGATGCTGTTCATTCGGGCCATAAAAATAGATGGCAATCAGCAGGCTGTAAAGGTGAGCTTCCAGCAAAGTGTATCACCTCCCCTAGAAGGTGGCTTCCTGGTGATCTACTAAGGGGGGGTGGGTGGGTGGGGGGAGCGGCAGGAAGGGTCTGAGGGGAAGGAACAAAGAAAAAACTACTTGGTTCTCCATCTATGCCTACTGCAAAATGAGCCACGGTTTTTCTTCCTCTCAGCAATTTTAACTTTTTTCCTTAAAATGTGACTAGTTTCTCACATCCCCCACTTCTGCCTCGATCCGAGGTTGTTTTCTTAATTCTGCATTTCCCTCCGTACTTGCCAAGACTGAATGAGAATAGCGGGCGCTGGTTGAGGTTTCTATTATATGTTTTTGGCTCCTGGTATATTTTTAAATTTCATTATTATGGGTAGTCAGAGGTGACTGGCTGGTTTCATTTTAACAGGCTGAAAA